CGAGGCGGACTCTCGAAGGGTAGGAGGGAGGGTTTAGGGTTTAGGGTTTAGGGTTTAGGGTTTAAGGTTTAGGGTGTAGGGTTTAGGGTTTAGGGTTTAGGGTTTAAGGTTTAGGTTTCAGGGTTTGGGGTTTAGGGTTTAGGGTTTAGGAGCTTTAGAGCTTTTGGGGCTTTGGGTTCAGGCTTTAGGAGCTTTAGAGCTTTGGGGTCTCAGGGGTTTAGGGCTTAGGGTTAGCAGCTTTGGAGTTTTGGGGCCTCAGGGGCTGTCGGGGTATAGGGTTTGGGGTTTCGGGGAGTCGGGTTTCGGGAGGATGCGGTGTTCGTGTTAAGGGGTTCCGGTTTAGGGGTTTCGGGGTTTAGGTTATGTAGGGGTTAGGGTTTTCGTGCTGAGGGTTTTTATGGCTCAGGGGTGCAGGGCTTTAGGGATTAGGGCTTGCGGTTTAGGGGTGCAGGGTTTCACGGATGTGGGCTTACGGTTTAGAGGTCTGGGGCTTGCCGGGCAAGAGCCAAACTAACAAACCCTACACCCGAAACACCAAAGCCTAAACCTTACATGTAATAGGTTCTGGGCTAGCAAGCCTCAACCCTCAAGCTTTAACCCCCACCTGAACATGCCCCGTAGGTAGGATCCACTTTCTGAGCAGTTCTAAACCAAGAGCCCTGAAGTTCCAAGAAGCCTCTGTTTGAGTTTAAGGACTGTTAGAACGAAGAGCGGCTGCCCGAGGATAAAATTGCAAGTCTACTACCTGAACCCTGCGCCCTGTCAGCCCCCAACCCTCATACCTAAACCTAACACCCTGCCCCCGCCTCCAAAAACATGACTTGAAACCCGAAGCCCCGGAGCTGTTGCTACGAAATCTCAGATCTCCCAAAGCACCCTTGCGACTTGGATTCCGGATCCCCGAAGCCTTGCTTACCTGACACCTAAATTTTAGGCTTTGGGGTTTAGGCAGTCTAGAGTTGTAGGTTTAGAGTTTAAGGTCTGAGGGTTTGGGGTTCAGGGTCTTGGGTTTACGGCTCCTACACGGCTTCATCCTGGACCCGGATGACTTAAACACCTGCAACCCTACATCCGAAACGCTCACTCCCGCAAAGCCCTCGCCCTACCTGAGCCTGCTCTTGCACCTGACGTTCTGTCTGTCTTTGCTAAATCCAAAAACCTAAATCCTAAGCTTTATAAACCCTAAACCCTAAAATCCTAAAGCCTAAACCCTAAACCATCAAATCCTAAACAGCGAGCCAGGTCAAGTGCAAGGAGCACGAGTCCCTTCGGCTTTCTTTCGTCCTGGCGGGGGAAGGTTCGGGACCTTCAAGCCCTACAGGGGCTTTTTGTGTTTAGGGTTTAGGGTCTAGCGGTTTAGGGTTCAGGGGTTTAGGGGGTTAGGGTTTCGGGGTTTGGGGTTTAGGGGTTAAGGGTTTGGGGGTTTAGAGTTTAGGGTGCAGGTTTTAGTTTAGTTTGTTGTACAGGGGGCTTAAGGATATATGGTGGGCTTTTGCGATATGTTATCAGGTTTTGACTGCGACTCGGGTTTGGGAGTATTATATTACAGAACGATTGTCAGAGACTAGAAGGGGAGATTGGTACTATTTGTTCTAGGGCGATCTAGGTTTCAGGGCAACCAGAATTCCAAGCCCTAAGCCGTTGAAACCGAAACCCTAAACCCCTAAACTCTAAACCCCCAAACCCTAAACCCGCTAAATCCTACACCTACATCGAAACCATTTGGGACATGTTTTGTTTCTCCCTCCTTGTGCCTAAGAGTATCGTTTCACGAATATGTTAGCAAAGGCTTTCAAGGGTCAACCTAGGAAAGAGTTCAGGATTTAGGGGTAGAGGACAAAGTCTCACGGATCCCAGGTTCCCACTCAGTCACAGTTGAATACTGTCTGTAATACAGATATTCTAAGGCCCTGAATCGAATCCCGGCCCTGTTCTAGACGGTTACTGTACCGACACAATCCCAGCAAACCCGAAACCCTAAAGCCCCAAAGTCTCAAAAATCCTAGGTTGGCTCTTCTGGAAGACCGCATCAACCGGAGTGAGCACGCAACGACGGAGCAGTCGGTGCAGGAAACGCGTGAGTAGCGTTTAGGTTTATGGTTTAGGGTTACCCTAAACCCTACGCCCAAAGCCTAAAGCGAGTCCATAATTATCGGGGCCTAAATCACTACCAAGGCCCTATTCGAATTAATACATCATGGGGATTTTGTTTGAGAATCGGAGTCTCCCCCTTCGGGGGTCCTTGTTTTTCTGCTATCCTAAGGCTTCTTCTGATTTAGGTTCAGGTTAGGGTACCCAGACAATATATGTTTGGGCGTAGAGGTCATCATGTATGTGCGTGCGACGCCACGATCCACTGCCCGCATGCAAGTGATCCTACCTCAATGCAGGAAGAGGCCGACCTCCCCCAAATTAGCCTCCGCACCAAACTATCGCAGGAAGTTAGGGCTGCGAGCCTTTACCCGACGGTTCCTGAATCATTCTTACCTTCTGCAGCTTGTCCCCTCAGCCCTAAACCCAAAAGCCTAAACCATAATTAACCCTAAACCAGAATGAGCCCTAAAACCATAATTTAGGCCTCATCCCTAAACCATAATTGAACCCTAAACCAAACCCGTCCCCTGTGATTCAAGGCCAATGCCCCCATTGAAGCCCGACCGGAGATCCGCAACGCCCTGAATGTTGAAGCTGGAAACTGCATGGAAAGTCTAGGGTTTAGGATGTAGGGTGAAAGCTGCATGTAATATAGGGCCTTAGTAATAAGAATGATAAGTACCTATACTATTTTGGAGGCTCCTTACTACAGTTATAGTATAAGGTACCCCAAAACCATAGTCTAATTATTAAGGCCCCTACACTAAGTCTAGGATGCCAGATTTGGGGGATCTGGGCCCTTGGGAACTTTTTGGGGGGTTTAGGGGTATATGGTTGGTAATTTCGGGTTGGGAGTTTAGAAGCCCTGCATTCCGAAGCCAACGACCGAAACCTGCAGCCGAAGGACATGCAGACGGAGTTGCAGAAGCTGCAGGAGGATATCCAAAATCTTCCCGAGGACCCCTCGTCGGAAGTGGGAGCGAGGGGATCGATCCCATATATGGTGGGCTTAGGAGGGCTCGGTTCTTGAGCAGTTTAGGGTAATTGGCGGGGACGGACCAGGTGTCGCGGCCGCAGCTTGTGTATGAGCTTGGTTTCCAGGTAAGAACCCTGAGCCCTAAGCACCAAACCCCATCCTAAGCTCCAACCGAAAATGCCCCCTTGCAGCCCCCATATACGTATATGCCTGATATACCTGAAAAGCCTGCTGTAATGATGAAGTCCTAACCATGCTAAAGCCCTACAGTATCACGTACGAGGTAGAGCCCAAATCCCAAAACAATAGAACCCTAAACCCTAAAACCCTAAACCCCAAACACTACACCGCTGAGCTGTCCAGCTCCAGGAGAAAAAGACGCTGGAGAAGTCTTCGAAACAGCTCGAGAAGGCGCCTCTCTCGCCTGTGTGCCCGAGAATTTCGGGTCCTAGGGTTTAGGGTTTAGGGGTTTAGGGTATAGGGTTTAGGGTTTAGGGTCCTAGGGCCTCCTCGGGTTTAGTGTTTTAGGGTTTAGGATTTAGGGTAAGTATGGGAATTCTGGTATATTCGATTCTGAGCCATGAGTACTGCAGGATTTATATCATCAACCTTGGGGTTAGGGTTTTGGGTGCAGGGTGTAGGGGCTTTATGGGATGTGGGGCTACGATGTCGGGTCCTGGTCCTAGGGGGTTCGCATTTTGGGGTTCGGGGCTTTTCTCTGCCTACCCAGAGACTCCAAAAGTTACGGAGCTCCGATCATACTTGATTCAAGGAGTGTTGCCCTACGTAGGGCTCTCCCAGACGGCAAACTACTATGGCTTGAGGGCTTGAGGGTATCAGGAGTTTACGGTCGGGGCATAAGGCTTAAGGCGTCAGGATTTCCGGGTTGGGTCAGATCCCTATAGGCACTAGACCCTGAACGCTCAGGGGTGAGAACCCTACCCGGCCCTACCCTAAACTCACCCCACACACTCTGAAGCCTTCTAGATCCGAAACCAGAACCCCTCAAGACGAATTAGTACTATTCCTTTTAGGGTGTCTTACTGTACTTATGGTGTACATTATGTACCCACGCCCTCCGTACTTCTGTAGCGACCTAAACCCTCCTGCCAAGGGCTTGGGCGGTTTAGTGCTTGAGGGCTTTAAGGGCCTAGGCCTTATAGGGTTGAGGGTAAAGCAATTAGAATAGGTTTTTTTCGGTACATTTGGTGGTGCTTATGTTTAACTAGTTAGGGAATCCCCAAGAAAACACTTGGTAGTTCTTCTTATTGGTCTTGAACACTGCGCCAGGACATCAAGAGCCTCGATTCCGGTCGCGACGAGCGCATCAAGTACTTCGAGCGCCAGGCGAGGCTGTCTTGCCCCGACTAGGATTAGGGTACAGGGTTTAGGGTACTGGGTTTAGGGTTTAGGGTACGGGATGCAGAAGTTTAGGGTTAGGGCATGAGAACTTAAGGTGCAGGGCTCTGAATTTGGGTTTCACCTATGGTGTGTGTGTGTGTGTCTAGGGCCTTGGGCTTGATTTGGTTTGAATAGGCATCCCCTGCAAGTGGCATGTTTCAGGAGCGCTACAAAGATTACCAAAATCTTTTTTGTATTGTTTTTCACAAATCGTGAGACTCATACACCTGGAGCTGCAGAGCTTTTGTTGTTTTAAACCTAAACCCTAAACCCTAAACCCAAACCCTGTAAATGTGTTACCACGTCCTAAACCATGGAGCCTGAGAAGTAAAGCCGAGGGTTGGGGTCTCCCAGCCCTAAGGCTCTAAGGACTCATCTTTTAAGGCTTTTGGGCCCTAAGGGCTCATCTTTTTCGGCTTTTGGGCCCGAAGGCCATACTCTATAAGGCCTTTGGGCCCAAAGAACATACTCTATAAGGCCTTTGGGCCGGAAGACCATACTATATAAGGCTTTTGAGCAAAGGAGGTCCAAATGTTAATAAGGACCGACACCGACATGCGCCGAAGATCGTGCCACCTCCTGGCAAAAGGGCCAAGACAGGGGCGGCGGATATGCCTATGGGGGTAAATCCCCCGCCGGTGCCGAAGGGACCGAAAGCTCGGCCCAAACAACCGCGTGGGCCGCCGCCAGGTTACAAGGGGCCAGACTCCGCAACGGCTCCACGTCCTGCTGCATCGGAGCCGAAGCCTGCGACGACTGATCCACCTCGTGCTGCAGCGGAGCCGACTCCGCCTGCGACGACTGGCCCGGCCCAAAGACCATTCTATATAAGGCTTTTGGGCCCAAAGACCATTCTATATAAGGCTTTTGGGCCCAAAGACCATACTACATAACGCTTTTGGGCCAGTTGGAGCCTTGGGGCAACATGATAGAACGCTTGTACGGAGCCGTGATAAGAACCATGTCGAAACGTGCGTTCTTGTGTCGATTCCGAGCCACAAAGCAAAAGGCAAATGCGTGAGGTAGATGAAGTCCCCACAAAAGCGTAAGAGACTTTCAGTCTTGAGCATTCCTGTATGTTCATTCAACAGGGGCCAGTGTTTTTTTCGAGGACACCTCACATTTACGTCAAGTCTGCAAGCAACGGTAGGTTTCAAACTTGGTACGACGGACTTGTTGGTAAATCTGATATTCCACTTTGCAAAGCTCTTCCTGTGCAAACCTCATACCTCCCAATGCTACATTTCCTTCATCTGCGGCCGTGTGAAATGCTAATAGTCATCACAGAACCTAAAATGGCTGCAACGTTCGCGCAACAATTTCACTATCCCCAGCCAGCCTGACAATGGAAGGACCACAGGAAAAAGGCTACACTGCCAAACTTCTAGCTGAGCCCCTGCCCTAAATAAAGGCCCTCCGCCCTAAACCCCATCTCCCTAAAACGCCATGAACGATGAACCTAAACCCTAAACCCTAAACCCTAAATCTCCCTAGAACGGAACTAAAAACCCTTCCAGAGAGGTCGTCGAGCTGAAGAAGGCCGCCAAGCAGAACGTAGAGAAGATCGAGAAGTGGCCGGATCGCGATTCGGGGATTCGGAGGGTGTTGAGGATTTTACGTTTTAGGGTTGAGGGTTTAGGGTTTGCATGGGGTTTAGCTTTAGGGCCTGGGGCTTACGGCACGGGTTTTCAAGAAGGGGGTTTCGGAGTATATTTATTACGAGTTTCAGGCAGTGGGCTTTGAGCGGATTCTACCCCATTGCGGAGCCTCAACGCATGCATGACGAGCCAGTGTAGTCCGTTATATAGAGGCCTGTACTAACGATTAGACATATCGCTTAGGGCTCCTTCTGCGGAGAATTCGGATAAAAGTACCATCGTATAGTATAGGTATAGTGGTATGGTGTGGTTTCGACTGGTGTGGTATAGTATAGTACTTAGAGGTTGTATGAACAAGTACGAATATCCGAATCCGCTTAGGTGGCTCTCAAGCCTAAAGAACATCAGGTTTTAACTGCACCGCTGTAGCGCATTGCTTTCAAAACTGTGTGAAGCCCTCCAATCCGAACGCCTAAATACATCCCTGAACCTCTGAACTACCGGCACCCGAAACGACAAACCCTAATATAGGGGTCTTAATAATTAGAATAGGGTTTGGGGGTACATTATCCCATAATTTTAATTATATAATACGGAACCTCCGAAACCCTATTCTGATTATTAAGGCCCCTACATAACGCCTCCTTCAAACCAAGGCAGCGAGAAAAGACGGAACAGGCTAGCGGAGCCTTTGCTGTCGCTGCCAGGGATTGGGAGTCTAAGCTTTGGAACCTACGGGTTTAGGATAAAGTTTAGGAGGGTTCAGGGTTTATGGTGGGTTGAGGATTTTAAGTTTAGGGTCTACGGGTTCGCTCCAGAATCACCAAAAAACCCAGGATACTTTTTCCAATGAGAGCTCGATGTTAGACTGTATAGGGTTGTTGTTCCCGGGACGATTGATTGGTGTAAACCCTAAAACCTAAGCCCTAAAGCCTAAACCCTAAACGGTGTACAACCTCTGCAAGAAGAGGCGTTGGGCAGCATACCCTTGGCCTGAATCTCAGCCGTTTCAGGTGGACACCCTGACCAAACGACCGCAGCCTTGTCGGGCAGTTGTAGAATCCTGTCGCTTTGAGTAGTCATGTAATCTATGTCATCTAATGTATGAACCTGATTAAGAAACCCCGGCCCTATCACCCCAACATATAAGAGTTCATATAAAGAACCCTAATAAGGGCCCGGGGTTTCTTAATTATGTGCCTGAATAACTAGACCATGGTCACCACAATCTGCCCCAGTAGTCTCTACCCATAGGCCCCATAGTAGTTCCTGTTTGGGATTACCTTATAGGATTGAAAATATGAACCCCAACAAGGAACTACTATGGGGCCTATGGGTATAGTGGCCCTATACGGTGGTCTGGCAGGCGCAGGTGGAGGTTGAAGTCCTTCGCAACGATCCTCGGCACCGTGGAAATGATTTTTCGTTTTGTTCACAAATTACAATGTGTACTATCATTGAGATTCTGGGTGGCAATCTGGGAAACTTTAAAATTTCCTTTCTGGTTCCTATAGAGGCCCCAAAAGTACAACCCCGTAATCGTGTCCAATGTGAAAAGGTTTTTGTTTCTTTTAGCAGGCCGGGGCTTAGGTTTACATTGGCTTTCGGGCGGTACTCTCGCCGCCTGCCTCTTGAATTAGGACGTTCGAATTTGCTCTAATAAGGAATAGACAGTTCGGCCGACGCACCTTCTTTGAGGGTTCCTAAACACGAGGCGCCGCTGTGAAGGTTAGGATTCGGGCTTGAGGTTGATTCTGGGCTGGGCTGGACACCCAAAGCCCAAAACTACGCCCCAACGGCCGCTTTACCAATAGTAACTACAGTAGAGGCCGGAAAGTTGGAACATGACTATGCTCACGCCCCTAAGGTAATGTATAAGCGATCTTTTCACTAATCCTCCGAAACCCATGTTCCAACTTTCTGGGATTCCCCTTAGGAGCCCTAAACTCCAATTCACCTTCCCTCGCACTCCACCGTCCAAGAAAAGCGAAGAGACCACTCAACCCTAGGCCCTGAACCCGAAAAGCCGTAAACCCTATACATCCTAAACCCTATAAGCCCTAAGCTCTAAACCCTGAACCCTAAATCCTATAATCCCTAAGTCCTAAGCCCTAAACCCTGTAAGTGCGTTCAGGAACTGCAAGCCCTCGATGCAAAGGACCAGGACCTCGGGAGGTTTCCGTGTTGCGGTGAGGGTTTGGGGCTTTAGGGCTTTAGGGTATTTGGCGGTTTACGTAGCGGTTTAGGGTTTTGGGTTTGGGGGTATTTGGTGGTTTAACGGTTTAGGTTTGAGGGCATTTTTTGGTATTTGGTGGTTTAAGGGTTTAGGGTTTTAAGGTTTAGGGGGTTCAGGGCGTGGAATTTATTTAGGGTACGATTGTGTCATGAGCTCATGTGGGACCCTGGTGAGGAAGAGGCTGACCCAGCCACTCTTACTGTCGCTACCGACGGTCTCACGTACCCAGACAGAGACCGTATCTATACCATACAAAAGGACACAAACGGAGAATGCAAACACCAGACCGACAAGAAACCATCACCAAACGTCACTACCGTGACTTATGCAAGGACCACTCCGCGGTCTCCCAAAGCCCGGCAGCCTGTGGACCACGGCGCCATCTCCCACATCCTAAACCGTCAAAATCCCTTAGCCCCTAAATCCCCCGTAGATCCCAAAACGTCGTACTTCAACGACTAAGGGATGTCCAGTATACATCATCTTGTCATGAAGCAGCGATATCCTTGTAAAGTGCTTATGTTTATGTCCTTTCAGGCCCTCATGAATTCTAAGCTCTCTAGATCCTCCAGCCCTACCCACACCCTAAGTCCGCAAAAGGACAGCGGCAAGGGCCAGGAGGCTATCTTGGCTGAGATCGAGCAGATGTCGGAGAACCTGGAAGCCAAGAAGGCGCTTGTCGGCTTTTGCTTTAAATATGTTGCAGATAAACTATATCTATAGGCCCCATAGTAGTTCCTTTTCGGGATTACCAAATAGGATCCTAAATATAAACCACAACAAGGAACTACTATGGGGCCTATGGGTAAACTATAGTTGCCTGTGTTCTATAAGTTCTTTCTTGGGCTCAGATGGCAAAAAGCGTGTTTTGGGTTCGGTGCGCGGGCCGAGGGTTTCGGGTTTAGCTTTTGGCTTCGGGCTTCGGGGTCGAGGGTATAAGCGTTTCGGTGTTGGGGCTGCGGGTCTGGGGTTTGGGAATTAGAGTACGGTTTCAGGTTGAGGGTCGTTGGGTTCATTTAGGCCTTGGCTGTGTGCAGGCAGGTTTTGGTTCAGGCCTGTGTAGTTGAGGTGCTGAAGGATAGAGTTTAGGGGTTTAGGGTTTAGGGTGTAGGAATATCCGCACTTGCCTTGAGGCCTGCGCCCCAAGTTCCGACACCGTCAGCCGTAAACCCCTACCTTCCCAGTTCCTCAGCTCGCATCAAATGGCACGCGCCACCTTAGGCATCTTAATAATTGGCATGGGTTTTGGGATGCTATAATCTAATGTAGGGACTATCGGGGGGATATGATTCAAGAGCCACCCTGCAGTTTGCACGTGGATCCAAAAAGTGCAAACCTACCTGTCAAAACCCTAGGCAGTAGACCTTAACAAACTTGAGCACGAGGGGCCTCCGCAGATTTAAGCCTCGAACCATGAACCTCGGTATAGGGACCCCTTTAGAGGTAAACTTAACAGGGTTCAGGGTTTTTTTGGGGGGGGGGCATGGAACTCCATACGCCGGGGAAACAAACCCGTCTAACAAACCCTGAACCCTAAATCACCCTTCTAGGCCCCCCTGCAAAACTACTATGGCAGCCTGGGGAAGTCTTGCTCTTCCTCCCTAGTCCATAAGTTTGGGATCTGGGGTTTTGGGTTTGGGTTTTTGGGTTTGGAGTTTTGGGTTTAGGGTTTGGGGTTTAGAGTTTGGGGTTTGGGGTTTAGGATTCAAGGTTTGGGGGGGTATCATGGACTCCAAGAGCCCATTTTCCAACAGAGCCCCCTGGTCGTCCTACACTCGAAGCCCGAAAGCTGGAGGGTTTGTATGAGTAGCTTCAAGAGCAGGACGCGGAAGCACCAAAGGTTTTCAGAAGTCCCAAGAGCATTCACCTGAGCCCCGAACCCTATCTTTAAACACGGGTGAACACAAAATCCTACACCCTCATACAAGCCCTACCGCATATGTCAGCCCGAAGGAGTCGTATACCTCCGCCGGGGAACGGCTGGAGATCATGAGGCAGAGATGCTCAAACCCTACACCCTACACCCTAAACCCTAAACCCTGGAGTTTCGGGTTAAGGGTCCCTTGGACCCTGAAGCTGTTCCTGGTTGTGGCTCGCCTGCTCTATGAACGATTTTTTTACTACTTAGCCCTAAAGCATACGCTCCACCCCTTTGCCCCGAAAAGCTTACCAGCAGCTACCAAAGCCAACTTTTGTCTTGTGTCGTTCGCCCATACATTCTATATTAGGGGTTATAGTATAAACTTACAGAAAAGCCGGTTATGGTAGATTAAAGTCAGCCCTTGACCCAACAGGAGGCGAGATGGCCTAGCCCACACCGAAGGAGTTTCACGCCTTCCGGTAAAGCCTAAACCCTAAACTCCAAACCTTAAGAAGGTCTGTCCGACCGGGAAAACCGAAGTAACCCTAAACCATAAATCCTAAACCCCTAAACCCTAAACCCTAAACCCCTAAAGCTCTAAACCCTAAACAGAGAGAAGCCGACTAGAGAAAGCACTGCTTCAACGAGACCCCCGCCTCCGGAGTCTCCTTCTTACCCTTGTTTAGGGTCTTCGGGTTTCGGCTGATAGGGTGTTAGGGTTTCGGGCTGACGGTTTTTCAGTTCGGGGTGTTTGGGTTTCGGGTTTTAGGGTGTTCGAGTCTTTGGGGTTTGGGCTGTACGGCTTCATGAGGTTCTAGTCCTGCAGGAGCCGGTGAACAGCCGCTTCGCAACCTAGGTGTACCTCATGGACTCAAACCGGAAAGCTCAGTGACGTAGGGGCCTTAATAATTAGACGAGGGTTTTGGGGTCCTTTATAGTATAATTATAATGAGGAACCCCCAAAATAATATAGGTAATTATTAAGGCCCCTATATGACCCTACAACCCCCAGAAACCCGAGGCCAAAAAGGCCCTGGCCTTCGAGCCCTGAGCCCCGAAACGCCCGAAACCCAAGGCTGCTGAAGTCCGAAACGTGAACCCTGAACCCTAAACCCTATAAACCCTATAAGCCCTAAACCCTAAACCCTAAACCCTCCAAAACCAAGGCCGATTCTGCTGCTTTTCACTTTGGCTCCAGGTCACCCCCTAAACCCTAAACCCTAACCCCTAGAATCCCGGAGCTCTCGTGCGGCACCCGAAGCCCTAAACCGAAAAAGGAAACCGCAAAGCCGCTAAAGCCCTAATAGAGGGACCTTAACAATTAGAATAGGGTTTGGGGGTTCCTTTACAGGGTTCCTTAAAGGGTTCTATGAGGGCTACTATAAGGGTTTAGGGTTTAGGGGCCAAACAAGTAGAAGAGGGTTTGGGGGTATCTTATACTATAACTCTAATATCTAATACGGAACCCCCCAAAACCCCTCTATTCTACTTATTAAGGCCCCTAAACCGTAAACCCTTAATAGTAGCCCTTATAGAACCCTTTAAGGAACCTTTTAAAGGAACCCCCAAAACCCTGTTCTAATTACTAAGGCCCCTACATGAACTTGCACTACTCGAGACCCGTTCTCAGAGACAGTGGTAATACGGCTGATGATATCAGTCCTGCATTTTAGGGTTTAGGGTTCCAGAATAAAGAAATATTTAATTCCTATAGTTTCGGGTCCTTAAGGTAGCGCAGGATTGATATCATCAACAGTACGTCTTATTACAGGACTACTCAAGGCCACAAGGTCTCCATGCAAAGTAGCTTGGGTACCTGGCACGGCCTGGAGTTGGGAGGTTTATATACAGTAATCATGAAAGCCCCGATATTGGCTTTTGTAGAATCCCCCTGTAGAAACCTTGCAAGGCCCTCATGAGGCCATCCAAGCGGTAAATCCAGAGCCCAAATCTCAACAACCCCAACAACCCCAACAACCCCAACAACCCCAACAACAGCAACCCTCAACCCTAAACCCTAAACCCAACCCCCAAAACCCCGAAATCCTAAACCCTAAACCCAACCTCCACAACTCCTCAACCTTAAACCCAACCCCCAAACCCCGAAGTCCCACACCATGGCCAGGGTGGAACTCCAGAGCCCCGGAGAGCAACGGTTGTTTGTTGATTGCTCACTTCTTTCGAAGGTTTCGGGTTTAGGGTCTAGGGTTGTTCCGTTACGTTGGCTTTCTGATGTTTGTTCGGTTGGGTTTGAAGGCTGCTGTGAGGAGTCTGAGTTGGCGTAAGGGCTGTAAGGCAGCGCAATGTTTCCACTTCCGTGTTCGACAGAACTCCTTGAAGGTGGGACCTTTCGGAATACGTGTCCATACAGGGAGAGCTTAGCCAGAGGGGAGCCTGCCCTATGGCTGTTTGGGACATGAAGCTTGAACAACTGCTTGTTCGCGACCTGGTTGTGCGATGTAGAAGTCAGGATCCAGCATTATGTGTTCTTCTGTGGCGTCTTGGTGCGTTTGGTGAGTCGCATAGCAGGCGCGAGCTTACTTTTAGGGTTTAGGGCTTAGGTGAGTCGCATGAACAGGCGCGAGCTTACTGAAAGGGTGGGCAAGGCGCACGATTGGGCCCACGAGTTGCAGCTTCCTGCTCATGCTACACAAATGGAGTAGCGGGAGTCGTGGGAGCGAATGCCACAAGAACGACAGGAGTCCATCGATCGCATGGGGTGGTCGCAATCGTGAACTTGTTCACTACTTGGAGGTGCGTTTGTGGCGGAACTGGACATATCCCGCTGTGGCTGCGCTGGGCAGCATGAAGACCGCGGCTGGAGTGGATGCAATCTCCCATAGAATGGCGCAGTGCTTGGGAGGTAATGCCCTGGCAGGTTCCAACTGTTTCAGTGCCAGAGCCTCGCATCCCCCCCATAGGATTCCGGTTAGGCTAGGGTTGCCGAGAGCATTGTCCATAGACTATAACCGTGCTAGTAGGCAGCCCTGAGGTGCAGGGTTTGGCGATTGCAGGTTTCGATTCGGAGGTTTTCTTTGGGGTCTTATGCGCCCTGCTCAAGACCTCAATGCATGTGGGTACTTCTCTAAATTAGAGTCCCTTTGTAGGTCCCCAAAATAGTACGGCACCCTTATAAAGAGGACCCTTAGAAAGTGATTTGAATTGAGAGAACTACCCATCTGGCACGCCGAGAACCTTGAACCTTCACTGAGGCCCAAAAGCCCAACCCTGAACCCTTGAACCCTTGGAAGAGAATGCACGGGTCACACTAGTTCGTATTCCCATATGGTCCCTATTTTGTTCTACTCCAACATACTCCAGAACCTTAATCCTAAACCCTACACCCGAAGCCCGAAACCCGTCTAAGTTTGAGCCTCGTCGGGCGAAGTGAAAGGGGCTAAACCCCAAGCCCTAAACCCTAAACCCGAAGCCCTAAGCCCTAAACCCTACCTGGACCCCAACTAACCTACCTTTTCAAGGACTTGTTTAAGGAGATCATGATAGGGAACCTTTAAAAGGATTTAAAAGGAATAGGGTCCAGGTAAGCCCTAAACCCCACAACCTTGACAAGATACTCTTTGCTGTCCTTTAGCTAGGATCGCCCTGACTTCACCACTTGCGAAGGCGGAAACTTCTAAGCCTGACTGGGCTCAGAGGCTTACATAGCGAATTAATATAGGGGCGGACTTAATTTTTAGAATAGGGTTTTGAGACGTGCATTATGCTAGAACTATAGTAAGGGACCCTAGGAATAATATTGGTCGACATTGGTAGTTATTCCGGCCACTACAGTACTTGTGGGCCAGTGAACTCAGCAACCCGGCAAGCTTGCAACCCTAAGCCCTTCAATGTTTCGGTTGTACCCTAGAATTCGACATGGTCTGGGGTTTAGGGTTTAGGGTAATCTACGCCTAAACCCCTAAACCTTAAACCCCTAAACCCCTAAACCCCTAACCCCTAAACCCTAAACCCTAAACCCTTAAACCCTTAACCCCCAATCCCCTAAAGAGCTACAGCCTAAACCCCTAACCCTAGTCCCCTAAAGCCCTATAAAGCCTAAACCCCTAACCTTTATCCGAGGAACTTGGACGAATCCTTGGGCCAGCTTGCAGAAGAGCTGGGCGGCAACAAGCAGAAACGGGAAGAGAAGGAACTGCACCGGGTTTAGGGATTTCGGTGTTTAGGGTTTAGGGTTTAGGGTTTGGGGTCCTGGGGATGAGAATTTAGGGATTTAGGGATTTAGGGTTTAGGGATTAAATATAGAAGCCGAAGTAATTACCTACATGATTCCTTAGGTTCCTTAGTATATTTATACTAGAAAGGAGCCCCAAACCCTTTTTTCTGATTATTAAGACCCCTACGTTAGGTGTTTAGGGTTTAAGGATTAGGGTTTGGGGTCTGGGGATGGGGATTTAGGGATTTAGGATTTAGGGTTTAGTCTAGGACATTTCAGGCGGGTAGTTTCCGTTATAGGAGCCTTCCAGAAGGTCTATATACATTATCGAAGCCTCACAGAAGCCCTATATACCCAAAACTCCCCACCCGTAGTTTCGTTGAATTTAGGGCGTATAGGGTTTAGGGGAGAGGTCGGAATAAGGCGTAATGCTGTCTTTAGGGTTGCTTACAAGCGTTGGGGCATAGTACGCCAAAGCCCTACACTACTGACTAAGGCCCCTATGTTTGGGGAGTAGCTGAGATCCGGGACTTAAACTCGTTTTATTCGATGTTTTATCTTTGATATTTAAGTGAAGACCCTAACAATGAACATCGGAATCCCCAGAAATTAATGTTACGAGGAAAGCCGATTATCAGTAAAGCCATGTAAGGCCCGGTTTGTAAATAGATTCCGGATCTTAAACCTTAAACCCTCATTCCCTAAACCCTAATGCCCTAACCCCTCATACCCTACACCCTAAACCCTAATACCCTAACCCTCATACCCTACATCCTTAACCCTAATACCCTAACCCCTCATACCCTAAACTCCCTAAACCCTAAACGCTAAACCCTTATGTACCCCTAAACCAGCATCTTTGGGCCACAGCATTTTCAGCCGCTACGGTTTTTGAGGCTTTGGAGGTCTCCGACCCAGGTTCTTCTGGAGTTAGGGTTTAGGGTTCAAAGGGGTCAGGGTGTAAGGGTTTGAGGTTTAGGGTTTAGAGTTTAGGGTTCAAGCGTGTCAGGGTGTAGGGGTTTAAGGGTTCAGGGCTTAAGGTTTGAGTTGCAAAAAATTACGGTTTACGAAAGGGGTTACTCTTAGTCATGAGTTAAGGGTCTCCGTAAGGGTTACTTCGATGCCAGGATTCCTTTCAGAGTTATGATCAGGGTCACAATTTTGGAGTCGTTCTTCTGCAGACTCGTGGATTCTAAGCCCTAGCTGATTCTAAGCCCTAGCTGAGCCTATACCTATATCTTTTTCTGATTGTTAAAGACCCTATATTCGGTCCAGGGCAAAAGCAGGAAGCTCGAGAGCACTCCCATACTAAACCTTGCAGCCCCCCTTGCACAACCCGCAAATCACCGTCTTTACAAGCCTAGCCGTAGGCTCTTGATCAGGGAGCACCGCAACAAATGCTCAACCCTGAATCCTAAGTACTAAGCTCTGAACCCTAGGCCCTAAACCTTAAAACCCTAAAACCTTCAACCCTAAACCCTAAAGTCCTACATCCTGAACCCCAAATCCCTAAACCCCAAGCCCTGACTCCTAAATCCTGAACCCCCAACTCTAAGCCCTGAACCCCTGGCCCTAAAACCCCTAATATGGAAGCCGACATCATTGCCAATATTACTCCTTGGGGCTCCTTACTATAACTTTACTATAGAAGAGCCCATAATAACTGTTAAACCCTAAACCCTAAACCCTCAGCCCTAAACCCTACTCTGATGATTACCCTGGGTAAGGCCCCCTAACCGCCTAGCCCTTATCAGGAGCTGGAGCAGAAGCGAGTCACGCACAAGATCCAGCAGCTCCAGAAGGCCGGTGCCCTAAACCCTCGTAGCGTGAAGGGTGTAGGATTCAGGGTTTAGGATGTAGGGGTTAGGGTTCTGGGTTTAGGGTGTAGGGCTTAAAGTTTAGGATTAGTAGGGTTTAGGGGTTAGGGTTCAGGGTTTAGGGTTTAGGATGTATAATAGGGTTGAGGGTGTAGGGTTTGCAGTGAGGGGGCTCCTACACTCTAAAGCCTAAGGCTTGGGGGTTTTAGCCATTTAAAATAGGTTGAAAGCTTTCTTTGGGGGTTCAGGGCTCCGAAGGTCAGGGAGTTTAGGTCATTTTGGGGTTTAGGACCTTAAGATCCTCTGCTTTTTTGGGGGCTCGGTGTTTAAGGGTTTGGGTTTAGGGTTTAGGGGTTTAGGGTTAGGGGAGTTTGAGACTTCTTGCAGGTTTAGAGCTGTAAGGCTTCTTTGTTTATTGGGGCTGAGGGTTTTCTGGTTTGGGGTTAGGGTTTCGGAGTTTGGAGTTGAAAGGTTTAGGGTTTACGTAGGTCTTTTAGGGTTACTCGAAGGCCTATGTGGCATCCACAGACTTCTACATGGATTCTAGCACAACGGTTCATTACTATAAGGAGCATTGTCAGGGATCGGCCTTGCACTGGAACAGTCTAGGACATTTTCAGGTGGGTAGTTACCGTTATAGGAGCCTTCTAGAAGGTCTATGTACCGTATAAAAGCCTTATAGAAGCCCGAAAACCCAAAACTCCCCACCTGTATTTTCCTTTAAAGCAGAGATCCCCCCGTTGGGGTTTAAGGCTTTTGTGCGTGTTGGTGGGTTTGGGGGGCTTCGGGTTTCTTCAGAACTTCGTCTGGCTTTGGGTCAGTGTCCAAACTGAATCTCATACACAAACAGCTGCCAGGCACACCGAGCCGAAACCTTGAAGCCCAAAGACGCCCAAAGAAGCCCCCGAAGCCTTCGGCCCCAGATGGACAGGCTCGAGACTGAGAGCCGTCAGAGCCTAGATGGAGCCTACACTCCCTGCCGCCTCTGAAATCTCTGCAACTCATGAGCCCTCATGAATGAAACAGGACAGCCTGCATAACGCCTCATTGAAACCCTCCATAAACCCGCTGCCGCCTTCAGCAAACCTTCTCAACACCAAAGCATCTATGCTCCGTGAGGATGATAAAGAGTCCCATGTGGTGGTTGCCCGCATGGAGAAGGAGCACCCCTGGATCCAGAAGGAGCAGGTGCCCTCACTCCCAAACCAGAAGTGAGAGTTTTGGTGCTTGTTGCTATGGCACTTGGGGTTAGGGCTGAACTCTGAAACCTAAGCCTATACGGTTCAAGCTCTTGCATTCTTGGGTCTGGCGCTTGAGGATCGAAGCTACCCTACTCTCTAAACCCTGATCCCTTCAACCCAAGACTCGAAGGTCTTAATCCCCTGGCCTCGACCCCCTTACTCTCCGCGAAGTGCCTGGTGCTCCGCCGCCATAGATGAAAGCGATGAGAGCGGTAATGCAAGCCGCAGCGCAGCCCTAAGCCCTACAATGCGCTCAGTAGGGATGTACTACCCATAGGCCCCATAGTTCCTTCTTGTGGCTTATATTTATATTATCCTATTAAGTAATCCCAAAAAGGAACTACTATGGGATGGGTGAGGCCCAGAGCCGGAGTTGAAAACCGAAGGCCCAAAGCGCAAACTCGACGGCTCGAGACCCCAAACCGTAGGCCACGCGCAGTTCATGCGCACTGATCCTCATGCAGAGGCCTTGTTCGGAAAGAAGGGTACCGACTTCGACTTCCAGGGCAACCACTACCAGCAGAACAAGGCGGATTGTTCGACATGTCTTTTTGTCAGGGCTTTGTAGTCTTATCCAGGGGTGTGATTCGTAAGGGTCTATGCCTGATTTGTAGTGCAGTTCAATACTTCTAATTTTCCCAACCCCTGCATTCCCAACCCCGAACCCGAGCTCTCTCTTCTTGACGTCTGCAAAGCTCACGAAGCTGCTATGAACATTTCGGTGCTATGGCTTGGGCTGAGCGCACGCTAACGTCAGCTTCGGAGTTCGTTTGTAACCCCCGTAGCAGCGCTACCCATAGGCCTCATAGTAGTTCCTTTTTGGAATTGCCTAATGGGTTCCTAAATGTAAGCCACTATGGGGCCTCTGGGTAGACATGTCTGTTAAGGAACAGCTTGCGGAGACCCTAAGTCTAAGCGACGTCTCATAGCTGTCCGGTTTCAGGTCGTGAGGAACTTCTTCGGTCCCCGACATGACTTTTCAGCGTCTGTCGCATGTCGCAGCTTCGTACGATGTTGTGGAGGGCTGCGGCTTTATGCGGTCCGAAAGAAAGGCCATAAATGTAGAATCGAGGTCATCAGGGCTTTGGGGGTAGGGTTTCGTGTTTCGGGGTTTTGGCTATATACCCCAAAAACCTAAAACCCTAAACCCTTAGGTCCTACAGCCCAGATGCAGGTGACACCACGCGGACCTAAAGAGCCCTAAAGCAAAAAGAAGCCCTAGACCCTAAACCCCCAAGCCCTAAATCCTAAAACCCTAAACCCCTACAAACCCTAAAAAAAGCCTCTGAACCCCCTAAACCCCCAAAGCCTGCAAGTCCTAAATCCCACACCCCACGCCTCTCTGCAGGGTCGCCTGGAAAAGCTGAACTCTGAGCAGAAGAAGCTCAGCAAGAACATCAACAAGAAGGTGGGGCCTTCTAGACGCTTGAGGGTTTAGGGGTTTAGGGGTTTAGGGGTTTGGGGGTTTAGGGGTTTAGGGGTTTAGGGGCTTAGGGTTTAGGGGTTAAAGGTTTAGGGGTTAAGAGTTTGGGGTTTAGGGTTTAGGGGTTTAGGGATTTAGGAGTTTAGGGGTTTAGGGGTTTTGGGTTGAGGGTTTAGGGGTTAAGGG